TCCATCTTCCCGCACCTCCGAGTCTCTCCCTGCTTCCCGCAGCTCCGCCACTGGCTCGGTCTCGTCTGTTTTCTCCACGTCTCTCCGTGCGGGTCTCTTTGTCTCTGTCCCCTCCACCTCGGTCTCCTCCTGTCCCTGTCTCCAACTCTTCCTCTCCACCTGACTGTCCTGGGCTGGCTCTGCCTCAGCCTCCTCCTCCTAGTGCCCCTTCCTCGCTCTCTCCCTCATGTCTTTCTCTCCCTCTCTCCCTCCTTCCGCCCTCTCTCTCCCTGGACATCCCCTATGCCCAGAATTCACTTTTCATTCTATGGAGACAGCCAGGGGGTCATTTGTTTTTTCGTCCCTCCCGGCAGGGCCAGGCTTCTGGCAGCAAGTCTCATGCAGGGCAGACTTCTGAAGGGACTTCCCGCCCCGGTTCAGCACTGGAGCTTTATCTCTGGGCCCAGGCGGAGGCAGGGCGGCCCCGTGGCTTCCGGAGGCGCCCGGGCGGGATGAGCTCACTGCGAGTTGGCTAGGATTTCATCAGCTTCCTCTGCTGGAGCTGCCCCCGCTCCTCTCCCGGCTCCGGCCGCGCGGGCGAAATCCGCTGGGCGCCTGCTGCCCCCGAGCGGCGAAAGGTGGAAGCGCAGGCGCCTCTCAAAAAGCGCTCCTGGGCTCCGGAGGATTCGGCCAAGTTACGGAATCCGCACGTGGGGACCCCGCACATGGGGACCGTGTAATCTTCCCGAAGGGGCGGCCTTTGCGTGTGTGTGATGTTGGGGAGCGAACCCGGGCTCGAGAGTGCTCAGCACTGTGATCTGCCACTGGACTCCGCCCCCAGTGCAGAAATAGACTGTTTCAAATCCCATTTGAAATTGGGAATTTGGGGTCAGCGAAGCCGGCCTCCTAAGGTCACCCAGCTGGCCGACCAAGCCTCCTGGGCTGGAGTGGGGAAGAAAGGGTGCTTGTGCTCTCCAAGAGTCTGCGGTCATTTGTTTCTTTCTTTTCTTTTTTCTTTTGATCCTGGGGGTTGAACCCAGGGCACTTTACCACTGGTTACACCCCCAGCCCTTTTTGTTTTACTTTGAGGCAAGGTGTGCGCCATGGCGCCCCGCAGGGCATTTGTTCTTATTCCTTCAGTTTTTACCACCTCCCTGTGCCACCTGTCGTCCTGGGACTGACACTCTGGGGAAGACACAATGAGATGAACATAAGTATCAAAACGAAGAGAGTCTTCAAGTAGAAAGGGGAGCAGGGAAGGGCACGGGGAGTGTTGGGGCCTGGGTTGGGGATATTTGAATAAAGTCCGAAAGGAAATGAGAACAGAATGCCCTGTGCAGTGTGAATAACAGGCGCAAAGGCCCTGGGGCCAGAGTGGTGTGTTCAGGAGTGAAGAGCTGCATTGAGGCGGGGAGGGGGGGGGACACGAGCGGGGATGGGGTGGGAAGTCCGGTCAGAGCTGGCCTCTGAGTGCAGGAACCTAGGGGAGACTTCTGAGCCCAGGGACTCGAGCTGACTGCATTCCAACGGGCGCCCTCTGGCGGCCACGTGGGGAACAGCCTGAGGATGGGGAACAGGAGCCCGGGAGGAAGGCTGTCAAAACTCACGCTGGAAGTGGGGACTGGGAGCCGACGCGTGGGATTAGATTTGGGACTTATTTCGGAGGCAGAGGGAAAAAGAGGAGTTTCCAGAACTCCACCTTTCCGTCCCAGCATCTAGCAAGATGTTTGAGAGACTCGTGATGGTCACACACCTACTGTGTGCCAGGGTCTTGGCCAATTAAATGACTTACATACATGATTTCATTAAGTCCAAATTGGTCGTAAGGACTTAATGAAATCATGTATGTAAATCAGGAGGGAAAGGTGGAACACGTGCAGTAGGAGTCTGGATTTATTTAGAAATATTTGCAGCCCCAGGCTTTGAAGCCAAGGCCTTGTGCACGCTGGGCGAGTGCTCTACCACTGAGCTACATCTCCAGCCTTTGTACTTTTCTTTTGAGAAAGGTCTTGAACTTATGTTCTCCTGCCTCAGCCTCTTGAGTTGAGATTACAGGCATACATCACCATGCCTGACATAGATTTATTTTAAAAGTAGAGTCTATATGATTCGCTCAGCAGCTATTTGTGGATTAGATGGAGGATAGATAATAGCAATACTTGCAGATACATTTAGTGTGTGGCTGGCGCTGTTCTCAGCACATTATCTCATTTAATCCTCACATCACGCTTTTATTAGTGCTGTTTTGAACTTGGGGAAACCAAGACACAGAAAGGGTAAGTACTTTGTCCAGTCACTGTGCTACTAACAACTATAATATTTTATTACAGAAGCAGCGCAGTGAGCTCTGGAAGTCGGAAAGATCCATTTGGGTTCAATTCCCACATGGCTGGTGGCCTTGGGCAGCTAGTTCACTTAGCATCTCTCGCTGGTGATTTCCTGTCCTTTTATTGTTATTATTTTTTGTACTGTAGATGAAACTCAGGAGGGCTCAACCACTGAGGCACAACCCCAGCCATTTTTATTTTTTATTTTTATTTATTTATTTATTTTGAGACAGGGTCTCACTAAGTTGTTTAGGGACTGGCTAAATTGATGAGGCTGACTTGGAACTTGTGATCTTCCTGCGTCAGCCTCTGGAGCAGCTTGGATTAAAGGTGTGTGCCACCTCGCCCAGCCAGGTTCCTGCTCTGTTAAATGGGGATTAGAGGGACTGGGGGTGTGGCTCAGTGATAGGGCACACAGGAGCAAGTGTGAGTACCTAGATTCCATCGCTAGCACATCAAAATAAGTTAAATACAGTTAAAAAAAAATGGGGATTTTAGGATGACTTGAGATAATGCCTGGGGCTGGGGATGTGGCTCAAGCGGTAGCGCGCTCGCCTGGCATGCGTGCGGCCCGGGTTCGATCCTCAGCACCACATACCAACAAAGATGTTGTGTCCGCCGATAACTAAAAAATAAATATTAAAATTCTCTCTCTCACTCTTTTTTTTTTTTTTTTTTTAAAGAAAAAGAGATAATGCCTGAAAGAAGAGTGAGCCCAGGGTGTGGAAGCTACTCACTAAATGATAGCAAAGATTTTCTTTAAGGGATTAAGATACAGCAGTGATCCCGCCCTGCAGGCCCTCAGTCTCCCTTCAGGTGAGCCGTAAAGTGTTCTGTGTGCTCTCTCCTTCCTTTCTTGTCCCAAGGCCAGGCTGGCATCACAAATTTCTTCCAACTGAGATGTCCCGATATTCACCTGGCTTTCGCTAGCTCTGTGCCCAAATGTCACCTCCTCAGAGAGGCCTTCTTGGACCGTCTGTCCCCTCGCCCTGACTTATCTTGTCCCTCAGCGCTCCTATTACATGTTTGTTTAGGTATTACCTTGTCTGTCTCCTGGAGAAGTGACTTCGACGGCCACAGGCGGGCAGATCAACAGGGGAGTGCGCGCACCGCCCTCTGGTGGCCAGTGGGAAAAACGTCTCCGCCCGCTTGCAAGACCTTCCTGTGCCTGTTTACAACTGGAAACTAAAGCTAGAGTTTAACTCCGCATTTTATTATGATGATTATTATTTGCACTACTAGGAGTTGGACCCAGGCCCTTGTGTCTCCTGGGGATGGGACTCTGGGTAAGTGCTCTTTAACTTACCTATATGCCCAGCCTTATTTATTGGTACTGGGGACTGACCCCAGGTGCCCCTTACCACTGAGCGATATCCGAAGACCTGTTTGTTTTTGAGACAGGGTCTTGCCAAGTTGGTGAGGGTCTAAACTTCTGAGGCTGGCCTCGAACTTGTGATCCAGTCATCTCAGCCTTCGGAGTTGCTGGGATTACAGGTGTGCACCACCATGCCTGGTTCAAGGAGTCTTTTTATAAGGATTGGGGTCCATCCTCATAGCCTCTTTCTAACTTAATCACCTCTGTAAAGACTCTGTCTCCAAATAAAGTCACATTTTGAGGCTTTGGGGTTGGACATCAATATAGGAACCTCGGAATGTGACCTCATTTGGAGGCAGGGTCTTGGCAGATGTAATGGAGGCACGGATCTCAAGATGAGATCATGCTGGATTAGGACTGCCTGGAATCAATGTCTGGTGCTTTCATAAAAACAGAAACACAGAGAAGATGACCAGCGAAGGCAGGCAGAGGTAAGGGGCTACATCCCCAAGCCAAGGAATACCAAGAATTGCCAAAAGCCAGAGAGAGGCATGCAAGACTCTCCTTCAGTGCCTCCAGAAGGGACCACCCTGGGGACATCTGAATTTCAGACATCTAGCCTCCCAAACTGGAGAGAATAAGTTTAAATCACCAGGCTGTGGTCATTTGTTACAGAAGGTAGTAGAAGAAGTTAGTAGAACCCCTCAGTTGCCTCAATGACACAAGAAGGGAACCTCAGTGAGCTTGATTTTCTATCTGTAAAATGGGATTACAGCCATGTGGCATCGACCCAGTCTATTTTCTGTTTTTTATTTTACTCATTTTTTGGGGGGTCGTTCTGGAGATTTAACTGAGAGGTACTTCACCATTGAGCTACATCTCCAGACCTGTTTCTAATCTTTTTTTTTTTGGGGGGGGGCAGATTGAGTAGGGGACTAGGCCACTGCACCACATCCCCAGCCCTGTTTTCTATTTTCTTTAGAGACAGGGTCTCACTGAGTTGCTTAGCACCTTCTAGTTGCTGGGGCTGGCTTTGAACTCAGTATCCTCCTGTCTCAGCCTCCCAAGCTGCTGGGATTACAGGCGTGTGCCACCATACCTGACCTGTTTTTAATTTTGAGACAGGTCTTGCTAAGTTGCTTAGGGCCTTGCTAAATTACTGTGGCTGACCTCGAACTTGCCATTCTCCTGCCTCAGCCTCCTGAGTCACTGGATTACAGATGTGTACCACCATTCTTTGTCCTTTATATACTTTTGGTCTTCTCCAGATAACTTATAATGCAATGCAAATGCTAAGGAAGTAGTTGCTAATCTGTATTGCCTAGGAAGTAATGAAGAAGTCTGCATGTTCAGTACAAACATAATTTTAGAAAAATGTTTCCTATCTGTGGTTGGTTGTATCCACAGATGTGGAACCTGCAGATACAAAGAGCTGATTATATTTACATTTTTTTTTGGGGGGGATACTGGGGATTGAATTCAGGGACACTCGAGACAGGGTCTCACTGAGTTGCTTAGTGCTTTGCGTTTTTCTTCTTTTTTTCCCCCCTTTTGCTGAGGCTGGCTTTGAACTGGAGATCCTACTTTCTCAGCCTCTGAGCTGCTGGGATTACAGGCATGTGCCACGACACTTGGCTCTTGTATTTACTTTTTATTTTATAAAAAGGGAAGGAACTAATGATAAAGATACACTCATTCATTCATCATTTTTTTTCTACTTTTTTTGTGATGCTGGGATGGAACCCAGGACCTCTCAGGTGCCAGGAAAGTGCTTTGCTGCTTAACCACAGCCCCAGCTAGTTTCCAGATTTTTCGAACGAGTGGTTTCACAGAAGAAATATGAGAAGTTGACATTTGACTAAAGAGCTGAAGCAAGTGATGTAGTGAGCCTGGCAGGTAATTGGGCAATTATAAGAGGATTAAAGTGCATGTGTACAGAAGGTTTCCGAAGCTTGTTAACAGTAGCCATATAAAGGGCAAGAGATTACCATATATCCACTTTCCGTGATTCAAATCACAAAATAAAATGACTGGCACCTCAGGGAATCTGATCTGCATACCTGTAACTGTCATCAACTCCTGCGAAGGCATACCACAGCACTTACCACCATTCGTCTTAAGCTACTTATTATATCTAAATTTTGGTTTATGCAAGTAATCCCTTAAGTCTAGTCAATTCCAGATGGGGCTTCTTTGACTGTCTTCCTGTCTTTGGAATGCACCAACCTCACCAAACAAAGAGAGCGACTTCTCGCATGCTATGTCCTCTGCCTGGGCAGCCAGCCTCTTTCTCCCTCAGACCTGTCCTCCTGACTTAGACACCAATCCTTGCTGTGAATTCATATTTACCCATGAGGGCCTTGTTCCTCATCTGGACTTCCCGTCCACATTTCCCCCAGCAGAGTCTAGCACTCATTGCTGATTTAGAGAATGAATGAGCGATTATAATGGATACACTTTTGTGTGTGTGTGTGTGTGTGTGTATGTGTATACACTAGGATTGAACCCAGGGGCGCTTTATCCCCAGACCTCTTTATTTTGAGACAGGGTCTCCATAAACTGCTGAAGCTGGCCTTGAACTTGTAATGCCTCAGTCTCCCGCTTCGCTGGGATGACAGACACGGGCCACCACGCCGCGACACCGGTTACACTAACTCCAGGGTTTCTTCCGCGGGGGTGGGGTGGGCCAAAGCCGGTGAGCCTTCCGGGAGTCCTAGCCTAGTGTCAGGCACCTGCTTATTGCAATCCGGAACCAGAGGGCGCGGGAGGAAACATCGTGAGCAGGAGAGGCCGGAGATCAAGGCTGGCATCTCCTTCTCTCTAACGAGCTAATCCAGGCAGAAGGAACTAGCTTCCCAGACACCCCTGGGACCACAGCCACTGGCTCCCACCTCCACCCGCGGGGGCGCGGCCTCTTTAAGGCTCCCGGAAACGGGCTGATAGTACCGGAAGTGACCCTCTTTATTTCCCCTTTTCACGTGGTGGGAGCGGGAAGTGACGAGCGCGGCCCGGGAGCTGCGGACGCGGAGGCCGACCGAGCCGAAGTCGCGGACGCCGCGGGGTCTCCGGGACAGGTGACCGGGGGAGGGGGCCGGGAGCGCGCCCGGAGAGGGCGGGGCCTGGAGCCCCACGTGAGGGGAGTCGGAGCACGCGCGGGCGGGGTAGCGAGCACTCGGCGGGGGCGGGGTCAGAGTACTCTGCGGGGGGCGGGGACAGGACGCCCACATGGGGAGTCCGAGGGGCGCTGGCGGGGCGGGACGTTAGTGTGTGGGCAGGGCCGGGGCGGGCCGGGCTGCGGGCGGACCTGCAGCTAGGGTGGGCAGCTGGCGGCGAACCCGAAGAGTTGTGCCGGGCTGGGGGCGGAGCCAAGTGTTGCCCGGAGAGCTGAGGGGCGGGACCGGGATGCGGGTCGAAAGTCCTGTGGGCGGGGCCAGGAAGTTTTCCCTCATCTGGAGTGGGTCCGGAACGTTGACCGGGAAGTCAGGGGCGGGCCCGGAGGCTGACGCCAGGTCCAGGGCGGGGTTCTAAGGTGGAGGGTGCCCGGGGGGCGGGGCCGGAGGGCGGGCGGAGAATGCTTGGGGTAGGAACCAGAAAGTTTTGCCTAAGCCAGGGGCGCGACCAGAGCACTGGCGGGGAAGCCCTGAGCGGAGCTCGAACCTTGGTTGGGGAAGCCGGGGGCGTGGCCAAGCCTGACGCGCGCGTCAGGGGCGGGGCCAGGAGGTTGACCGGGCAGGACGGAGGCGGGGCCATAGCGTTGGGTGGGGAAACTGGGGGCCGAGCCGGGAAAATAACGCGAGAGGCGGGGGCGGGTTCAGGCTGTTGCCAGAGGAGGTAGGGGGCGGGGCCGAGGAGTAGGCTGGGAAGTCGGAAGCCGGGCCAGATTAAGGGCGCGAGAATGTGGGTCGGGCCAGAAGTCTAGCGGGAAAGGCGGGGCCGGAAAGTTTTGCCCTGCCCCGGGGCTGGGCCAGAGGGCTGTCAGGGGCGGGGCCGTGGTGTTCGCAGCCTGTTGGGGGCCGGAACTTTTCCCTGGGAAGCCGCGGGTGGGCGTGGGAAGCTCTGTCCTGGCTGGAGCGAGCATGCACCGGAGAGGTGAAGCCCAATCCGGAAGCCTCCCCAGTGGGCACCGGAACCCGTTATCAGAATAGTTTCTGGTTAGATAATGAGTCGACCATTTTGACCATTTTACGTTTTTTTCAGGATGCTGGGAGCGGGCCTAGGGCTTTCCTTGGGAGGTATGGGATTATGTTCTCTGAAGAGTTGGAACGGTTTGCGATTAGGGCATGTTTTTGAAACTTACCTGCGAAGCTAGAATGTACACTGGGATGTGAGTGGCACCAGAATGAACACAGGGAAGTGGCCCTAGAACTTTCTTGTGCAGGTTGGAGAAGGGATGTAGCTAAAACTCAGACTTTTGAGTTTTGTCTGGGCCAAAACTCCCACTACAGGTTGTGGAGGCTGGGCTAGAATCTTCAGTTTGGAAGGAAGCTAGAGGGTTAAGCCAGAACTTCCAAGGAGGGTCTGATTAAAAAGTTTTCATGAAAAATCGGTAGGTCTAAAACCGAAGGGATGCAGCCAAGTAAGGGATGCAGCCAAGACTTGAGCAAAATAGAAATGAAGTCCTTAATTCTCTTGGGGTATGGGTATTATTTTGTGTGCATGTCTGTGTGAGGAGCCCCCTATATAGAGAACAAAGTAGATTGGGAGTGCCTTTCATCTTAGTCATGCTGTTTCCTCTGTGTTCAGGAACCCCTAGTGCTGCTTCCAGATTCTGTGGTGGTTGCTGGGATCCTAGCCACAGCTGGTGAAATGGTGAGACCAGAAGTGCGTACTCCGGAATCTGAGCTTTGGGGAAGGGGCTTGGGAGAATGGGATCCAGGGGTTAGACCTGCAGACCCCAGACTGAATTTTCAGGCCCTGGGGTACCTAGAGGGTTTTCTTTCCACCCATCAGCTGCCTTCCTGTTTCAGGCAGCCACCCTGGATCTGAAATCAAAGGAGGAGAAGGATGCTGAGCTGGACAAGAGGATTGAGGCTCTTCGGAGGAAGAATGAGGCCCTCATCCGGCGCTACCAGGTGCCCTAGCCCTGCCCTGGGAGACCCCATCCCCTCTCCTCCCCGCAGTGAGTTTTTCTCACCTCTCCCTTCTTTGAAACCTTTTCATGGCTTCCCATCACTCTCAGGATGAAAGCCAAAGGCCTTAGTTAGGCATTCCTTCCTTCATTTCTGTCATTCATTCATTCATTGCAAATACTCACCCAGGTCTTTACAGCTCCAACCCTTTTGTTGAGTGGTGCTGGGGCTGACACCAAGACAGCTTCAGGTCTGTCCTTTCAGGGCTCACAGTTCAGTCAGGGAGAAAGCCCTGTCCCCAGTTGGTGATGAAACAGGCTGGGCAAGGTGATGAGGGAATTCAGAGGTTTGTAGGACTCTAGGGAGGGCTCCTGATTCAGCCTGGGGGACATTAGGGAGGGTTTCCTGGAAGAGGGGGCTGCAGAGGCCTGAAGGGTTATTAGACATTAGCCAGTTGAAAAGGAGAAGGGCTTGTGTTTCAGGCAGAGGGAACAGTTTGGGCAAATATTTGGACTTGAGAGAGCTTGGAGCTTAAAGCTGCATGGTCAGTTAGGGAGTATTGATCTAGAGAGGTCAGCAGGAGCCAGGTCATGTAAGGCCCTAAATGCCACCAAGCTGAGAGTTTGAACTTTTCTCCTGAGGGCACTGGGGCAGGAGTGGGACTCTGGCTTTTTAGAGAAGTTTCTCTGGCTGCTGTGAGTTAGTGGAGGGGCAGAGGTGAGAGAAGCCAGAGATTGAGAAGGAAGGTGGGGCAGGAGCTCTAGTGGGAGAGGAGGTGCCTGGCCCAGAACTGTGGTTGAGGGACTTTGTGACTGAGGACAGTAGAAGGCTGGGGGAGAAAGGGAGGATCCAGAACAAGGCCCAAGAGTAGGCAGTGAGGTTTTCCTGGATGTGGGACCTGGGAGGAGCAGTGGACCTCATTTATTCATTCTTCATGTGTCCATTTGTTAAAAAATACTAAGTTTTGGCATGTGTCAGGCAGTGTTCTAGACTTGGGATATGCATCCTGTTCCCTGGTGAACAGGGGAGGAGAAGAGGAAGAATGGTGGGGAACTGATTTCTGCAGGGGTTCCGGGACTGCCTTTTTGAGAGGAGGCATTTGAGTAGAGACTGAGGAATTGGGGGAGTGAGGGACTCTGGGAAAGCTGGCAGGGGGGCCAGCTGGTGCAAAGGCTGTGAGGCAGATCTTGACCTCGTATGTTCTAGAAACAGAATGGTAGGGCAAAAGGGGATGGAGAGAGACAAGGCCAAGCATGGGAGGGGATACTGGGGCCCACAGACTGAGGAAGCCTCTGTTCCTTGCTCAGAGGTAGGCATCATGAGAGGTCCTAGAGGGGAATACGACAGGGTCTGAGAGATGATGTTGAAAGGGACCAGCTTTCTTGTTTAGAGCTTTGGAGGGAGGGCTGGGACTAAGATGCAGAGGAATTCAAGAGGCTATGGGAGTCCAGCAGTTGAACAGGGCCCCTGACATTTCTTCCGCCCTGCATGTTTGTGCCCAGGAGATTGAGGAGGACCGTAAAAAAGCTGAACTCGAGGGTGTAGCAGTGACAGCCCCTCGGAAGGGCCGCTCAGTGGAGAAGGAGAATGTGGCGGTTGAGGTGGTGAGCTTGTCACCAGTGTGGAGGACTCCTGAGGATGGCGGGGAGAGGGTTGGGGCCTGGGATGAGAAACTCCCCAGCTGCTCCAGACCCACGGGTGGCTTGTACCTATTGTCCCCTCTGGGCCTGGTGTGTCCCAGTCTCCCTGTCCAGTGACTGTACTTTCCCCTCCTCCCTCTTCCAGGAGAAGAGCATGGGTCCCTCACGGAGGTCTCCTGGGACCCCTCGGCCCCCAGGGGTCAGCAGGGGCGGGCGGCCCCCTCCCCAGCAGGGAGGCCGGGCAGGCTTGGGCCGGGCATCCCGCAACTGGGACGACAGTTCTGGGGAGCCGCCTCGAGGAGGAGCTGGGGGCCGGGGCCGAAGGGGCCGGGGCCGGGGGTCTCCTCATCTCCCAGGAGCCGGAGACACCTCCACCTCGGACCGCAAATCCAAGGTAGGAACCAGGCAGGTGGGACGCTTTTGCCGTCCTCAATCTGTTTTCTTTGTCATCTTGTTTCTTTCCATTCCTTCTCTCAGGGCTGTTTCCCCTTCTCCATGCTCCACCCTCAGCCCCTGCACCTGTGCGCTCTACAGGGCGGTCGTCCGCCTCTCCCTGCCTCCCCTCGCCCTCACCCTACTTGTTTCTCCCCATCTCTTTTTCTTCTTTCTGGTGGCTGCTCTTGTCTGGTGGCTGATGTGCCCAGGCTATTCCGGGTTTTCTGTGTCTGTTCCAGTGGTGGGATTCGAGCGTGGGGTATGATCTTCCTGGCACGCAGGTGGGCTGGTGGACGTGTCTAGCTTAACGGCTCACAGCTTGCCTGGATGTGGTACAACCTGGTTCTG